GAGCCGCGGCTCTGCAAGGGCCACACGAGAGCCGCGGCTCTGCAAGGCACACCAGCAGCAGACGTGTCCCTCCGTTCTGGCTACAGATGGCTGACGGGAGGGTGAAGGAGGGCTGAGCTCTCTCCCATCCCAAGGCCCTGGCCTCTCCCTGTGTCCTCAGGTCGCCTGGCCCCTGTGGGTCTGTCTCTGGCCTGTCCCCCTTCTTAGAAGACCTGCAGGGCTTCTCTAAAACCCTTGTTTGACCATCTTGAGACCCTGTTTCTGTGCAAGGCCCCGTTCATGAGCTGGGAATCAGGGCTCAGCGTAGGTGGGATGTGGCTCGACCCTCAACCTGTGGTTCCTCTGTGCGCCTTGGTGGCCCACTGTCCCGCTGTGGCCCTGGGGCTTGCAGCTCTCTGGAGGGGCCTCTGCAGCCCACCTCTCTGTTTCTTCAAGGAGCCTGGGCCCCACCTTGGGCGGCTCAGATCTCTGTCCTGCAGCGTCCCTGTCCTTCTGTCTAGGGCTTGGTTGCCTTCAGAACCAGTTTTCCGGCCACAGGGCTTGGTGCTGTGCTGTGGCCACAGGGGGGCGCCAGCGTTGTTTACTCTGGGCAGCAGTGGGTGGACTCTGAGAGGGCAAGAGGCAGGGGGCAGCCCACTCTGGAAGGAGCTCGAGGCCGGCCGACCTGAAGGGCCCCAGGGCTGCACAGCTGGCTCAGGGGCACCAGGTGGAGGGGTGGGGACTGTATTTAATCTGGAGAAACGTCTGCAAAGCCCATGTTTTGGGCGGGCAGTGTGAAGAGGGCAGTGGGCTCGGGCTTCCTGTCCCCAGCCTGTGAGCTCCGCTATGGTTGCTGGAGGGGGACAGTACATGACCCAGCGCTGGGAACGCTGCTCTTCCTGCGCAGAGCAGGACAGGAGAGGTCAGTGGCCAGGGCGAAGGGCGTGTGTGCTGGGCTGGCGCCCTTCCGCTGTTTGTTTACCAAACACAGATTGTTGCTAGGGAATGTTCCAGCGGCTCACACAGCTCCAGGCCGAAACTGCAGGGGAGGCCCTGGCAGGAGAGGGAGGGTCCCCACTCCTTCCCTTCTACTCCCCACTCGGCCTGAGGCTGCTGGGGGGGGCTGGAGGGCAGGAGCAGAGGCAGGCCCCGCGCCCTGGAGGTACTTCCTGTCCCAGCTCGCCCCTGGGTGGCTCCCCAGCTTGTGGCTGAGAGTAGGCAGCCAGGCCGTCCTGATCACTATGTGATCCATTAAGGTCACCAACACAGTCCTGTGGGTGACATGAATGTCACAAGAGGACAACCCCAGACCATGTGCTTTTCTGGATCTGCTCCAAGCCTGTTGATGAGCAAGCAGGGCATGCAAGGACGCGGGAACGTGAGCCTCAGCGCTCTCCTCCCATGAATGGCTTCGTGCGCAGAGGGCATGTCCAGGGGCCGCTTCTGTCCCGGCAGCCCCGGGTCCCTGTGGAAACGGGACCCCTTCTCTCCCAGATGACTCTGTCAGGGTGGCCCTGGCCACAGCACCTGCAGGCTGGGTGTGAGCGTCTCCGCCTGGGGGCTCAGGGGACCAGCCTCCTGTTTCCCCACAGAGGCCCGTGTGTTCACAGGGATGAGGCTGTGGGTCTGCTGTGGGACCTGTCCTGCCTGCCTTCCCTGCCCGGCCCCAACTGCTCACCGGCTTCCAGTTAGGTGAGGACTGTTGTAGCTCCAGGTAGTGCAACTTCCTGTCTGGTCTGTCCCTGAGCCTCACCCACCAGGGTCTTGCAATAGCACCTCTTGCCCTCAGCTTGGCCTGCAGGGACATGCTGGGCTGTGCTTTGCCAGAGCTTCACGTGAGAGCCAGCCCCGCACCTGGTCCACTGACCCTGCTGCCCCACTGACCCTCACCCTGTGGGAGCCACAGCCTCAGACTCTTCTGCCCAGGGCAGGGAGGTGCTGGCCTCACCCCAGCACTGGGGGGTCAGAGTAGTGTGGGAAAGACCTCGGTGCCTGTCACACAGCCTGACAGGACCCGTGTGCCTGACAGGACCTCTGTTCTTTCCTCCGGATGTTCCCTGGGCCTGGCCAGCACTCATCATCTCCCCACCCTGCTGTCCAGCTCCTCGTGGGCATGCTGCCTGACCCTCTTGCTGTCTTGCTGGCTCTGCTCCGCCCTCCTCAGGGGCATCTGTGAGAGTCTTTCCCAGCTCCGGGACAGAGCGGCACTGGGCCTGCCTCGGGTTGGTCAGAACCAGCTTCTCCTGCGCCTAGTCCTCACCACGGAGCACTGCTCTCAGAACCCTATGGGAAGCGTCCCCAGCCCAAAGCCTACCCCGGAGCCCATGGGGCTCTGTGATAGAGCTGAGGGCCTGGGCCAGGCCGTAGACCCTGAGCCCCAAGAAGGAGCTGGAGGGGCTTCTGCTATTAAGGTCCCTGCAGCAGAGTCAGGCCTGGGCTCAAAGCCTGGCCTCAGAGGGTGGCCTGCCTGTTGTAGCCTGTTGGACAGGGTCCCACCTGTTCCCTCCGGGGGTGCCTGGGGGCTCCATGCCTCCGTCTGGGAAGGGGCCAGAGCCAGAGCAGGGAGATGGGAGCCCTACGCTCCACAGCCCTCTGTCTGCTTTCCTGGGCCAGAAGAGGTAGGATCTGAGGGCCCAGCTGAGGGTCCCAGGGGTCCTCGGGGGCCCAGCCCCCTCCACTTAAGCTGAGGCTGGTTTTGGATGCCTCGTCCTGGCCGCCTGGCTGGAGTGCCTCTGGCAAGCAGATGTCCCCTGGGCCATGCCCCACTTTGCACTGCTGAGAGGCCCCCGGGGCCTTGGGCTGGGGCTGCCTCTTTCCTGCAGCCCTGCGAGGCTCCGGCTCCCATGGGGGCTTCGGGACATGTGTGCCCCATGCTCAGTTGCAGCCCAGCCGAGCCCCTGGAGGTCTGGGTGTGCTCTGCGGACCTGCCAGAGGTGCAGGTTGCAGGCAGTGCTGGACAAAGGAGTCCAAAGGGCCCTCCTTTGTCCCTGCCACCAGCCATGCTGCAGGGACACCTTGCACCACACTGACCAGGCCAGCCCGAGTGTTCCTTGACAGCCCAGGTGATGGGAGCCGTGTTCCTGTTCCACATGTTGGTCCACCTGATTGCTGTTACCATTGACCCCGCCGAAGTCAACGTGCGACTTAAAAGCTATGCCCAGCCTGTGCCGACCTTCGACCGGTCCAAACATGCACACGTGATCCAGAACCAGTACTGCCACCTGTGTGAGGTCACTGTGTGAGTGCCCTGCCAGGCCCCTGAGGTGCCAGGGCCACCTCCTGGGGTTGGGCTCAGAGACAGTAGCTGATCCTGTGGGGGCTGGGCGGGGCTGGGCTGCCGTGCCTGGATGGCTGCATTTAATTCCTCACAGCTCACCGTGGGGCTGATGCTCCGTTGTCCCTGCATCCAGAGGCAGGGCTGGGGCTCCTGGAGGAGGGCTCAAGCCTGGCTCACCCCTCACTCAGTGCTGTCCTCCCCATCCTCCCCAGGTTTCCAGATGAGCCCTGCCCCTGGGGAAGAGGGTGGCCATCACGGCTGTGCCTGTCAGTGTTCCAGGTCTCAGGGCCCTGGGCACCGGTGTCGGGAGATGGCACGGCTGTGTGGGGTGTGGGGCAGCTCAGAAGGCATGGTTGGGACCGTGTGGCAGGTGTGGGCTCGGCCAGGCACTCGCCAGGCAGCTGAGCACGGCTGGGAATCAGGGATCAACGTACGTGGGCTGCTAGGGGCAGCCATCTTCCCACGGGGTGGGTTCCTCCTACTCTGCAGCCACAGAGTCCAGCAATGATCCATCCCCAACAGGCCTCCAGTGCCCTTCCTGACTCCAGGTGGAGGCCTCAGCCTCCCTTCCCTGCTGGACACCCTGTTCCCAGACCACATGGAGACAGCTCTCCTGGGCCAGCCCCGCCTGGCCTGAGGAGGTGGGCCCTGACCCTGTGGGTCTGCACCCTTGGGCTAGCATGTTCCTGCTTCCCTTCCAGGAGCGAGAAAGCCAAGCACTGCAGCTCCTGCAACAAGTGCGTCTCTGGATTCGACCACCACTGCAAATGGCTCAACAACTGTGTGGGGAGCAGGAACTACTGGTGAGGCTGGCAGAGGATCACCAGGTGGAGGCCAGCACGTGGGCGGGGGCTGGGGGCGGGCCTGGGGCACCATAGGGAGAAGGGCCATCGTAGGGCCACATCCCTGACCCCGGCGGGGTAGAGCTCAGGGCCTGAGTCTCACTGTTCAGGAACATGTTTGGTGGAGCCGTCCTGGACATGCTGGGTCAGCTCATGCCCACAAGGCTAGTCACCAGAGTGCCCCCAGACCTGCTTGCTTCCCTAGGCCTGCCCACCTCTCCACACCAAGGCATCAACCCCAGGAGCGGTGGCCAGACCTGGAGCATGAAAAGAGCATCCAGGTGCAGGATGGAGGTGCCCCTGGGTCACTGGACAGAGGGTCCATGGCGCGCTCAGTCCGCTGTGCCTGGGCCCAGGGTGGATATCAGCTCGGCAGTCTATGACCGTCCCTGGGAAGAAACAGGTGCCCGCCACCCTGGACTAACGCGGGAGACAAGGCTCTGGTCAGCCCACAGTAGGAGCTGTGAGCTCAGGTCCCACTATCCTGCAAGGCACCAGGGTGCAGGGATGCCAGGCCCAGACGTGGGCCCTGAGTGGCCCGCACTACAGCAGTGGTGGAACCAGGTGGTGGGATGGGCCTGACAGGCCCTGACCTGCACCCTTGAGAGGGGCTGCCCAGCAAGGGCAGAGGCGGGCTGCACCCCTTGGTGCCTGAGCAGCCTGGCACAGCAGAGGCCTCGGGCAAGGCCAGCACATGGGGCAGAGCCAGCACACGGGCCTAGGGAGGGTCTGCTCTTCAGAAGACACCAGGGTGAGCACCAGCTCAAGGTCATGCAGGCAAGGGCCTGGGGCACCACCGGCCCCACGCTGGCACAAGCTTCTTTGTCCCTTCATCCCCTGGAGGCCAGGAAAGCAAGAGAACAGTGGCACTTAGAATGTCATCTGGCCCCTGAAGTGGGTAGAAAACACGCAGGGCTCTGGGAAATGCTCTTGTGCCTCAGCAGTGAGGGAGGGGGACACGCCTGGCCCAGGAAACAGCACGTGGCCTTGCAGACTGCCTGCAGGGTACGAGCCCAGGCACAAGGCAGGAAGGGACAGAGGGACAGCACCTGCAGGACGGGCAGTGAGAAGGACACGCTCTGGGAGGCAGCAGCTGTGAGGTGCCACAAGGCCTTGGGCTCTGCTGTCCGTGGCAACAGGATGGACACAGAGAGGCTCAGGTGGGGGGCACGGGGCATGACCAGTGTCACAACAGCCAGTGACGTCAGCCTGCAGACTTGAAAGAATGGTCCAAAGAACCAGGGCGTGATGGAGGGAGGGATGCCCAGTGGCCGGCGGCCTGGCTGCGGGAGGCCTGCGGCTCTGGCTAGGTCCTGGCGGTGCTGCCTCAGCCGTCCCTGCTCCTCCCTTAGGTTCTTCTTCACCTCTGTGGCCTCAGCCCTGTGTGGGCTCTTCTGCCTGATGGTCCTCCTGCTGTACGTCGTCATCCAGAACTTCGTCAACCCCAGCAAGCTCCGCATGGACCCCCTGTACAAAGGTAGGCCTCCCGGGCTTTTGGGCTCTGGGCCAAGCCCCCCAGCCTTCTTCCTGGCAGAGTCTTCAGTCTGAGGGTGCCCCCGTTCCCCCAGGTCTCCCTAGCTGAGCAGCAGCCCAGCACCCACACTCTGGCCAGTGATGTCCCCGTGCTCAGGGGGCAGGCGTGCTGCTCTGAGGCCTGGCGTCCAGGCAGGGTGGGTATGTGCCCCGGCCCTCCGGCACCTCTCCATCAGCACTGAGCCCAGGCCAGCCAGACTCTGAGCCACGAGGGGCAGAGCAGCAGGGGCCTGTCTTGCCAGGAGCAGAAGCAGCCAGGGAGGCAGAGCTGCAGGCTCTGGGGCAGCACTGGACTGGGTGGGTCTGGCAGCCCAGGCTGGGTGCAGAAGTCTGCTCTGGAGCAAATGAGATGAGCAGGCCATGCCTGGCCTCTGACACACGCCCACGTCCTGACCTCAGGACCAGGAGGGCATCGTGTGTAGAGGAAGGCCTTGGCAGACATGGTCAGGGTCTGCCCATGAGGAGCTCGCCCAGACCCAGGGTCAGGCCTGGAGGGACAGAAGAGGAGACACACACAGGCCCTGTGGAGAAGGAGATGGAGGTGGGGGCTGAAGCAAGTGGCCACCAACCCAGGGCTCAGAGCCCCCAGAGTGGGCAGAGCAGGACCTCCCGGGAGCCTGGGGGAGTGTAGCTCAGCACACTCTGATTCCAGACTTGCTTCCAAAGTGGGCCCGATAGAGGGGGCACCAGCTTATGGTCATTGTCACAACAGCCCAGGACACTGACCAGGAGCATGGTGGTGGGGCCAGAGCGTGGCTGGCCATCTCAGCCCCAGGCACCACAGGAACACCAGCTCTATGGCAGGAGGGGCAGAACCTGCTTGTTGCTCGTTCTGAAACATTCCTGAGCCACCGTGTTGGAACACCCTCCAGGAATGACCTTGAGGTCCAGGGAATGCCTTCGGCCTCTGTGTCCCCATTCCCCGCCCAGGACTTCCCAAAGCTGCCTCCCCTGGTGGCTGACCCTGCAGACCAGAACCACCACGATGCTCTCTCCTCTGGGGAAAGAGGTCCTCCAGACCACAGATCAGCCTTGCTCCTGTGGGGCACGAGGCAGCTGCGAGGGGAAGAGCAGGGGCCGTGGCCGTGGGTCTGCCCGGTCACTGGGTGTGGTGTGTCTCCGGGAGCACTTGGGCCGCTCCAGGCGGCTCCTTGTGCGTGGCTGAGGCAAACTCCTGGCTCGTTGTTCCAGAAGTCTCCGTGGGGCATGGCCTCCCATACGCTGGACTTCATCATGCCAGTGCTGGACACAAGTGGGCTGGCATCAAGTGTCCCCACCTGTCCATGAGGCAGCAAGGGGCTTTCCCTGTCAGATGGCACACGCTGGAACCTGTCTAGAAAGAGTCCAGTCCTGACCTAGGTCACCTTGGGCATCCAGATCTGCCCAGCTGTACCCACAGCCCTTGAGGACTCTCTGACACCTGAGTTTGGAAACAGCGTGGCTCTGGGCATTGGCAGCCCTTCACAGAAGGCCCTGCCCGGGAAATGCCCCCAGGCAGGGCTGTGGCCTGCCAGGTTGACCAGGGACAGAGGGGCCCGGGGCCTGTGGGAAGGGCAGGTGCTAGGGGACAGGTGGCTGTCTCCTCTCTCAGCCTCACCTGCAGATCCCCAGGGCCCTCGGCAGGGGTGGCCCGCAGCCTGGGGGCCTGCCTGGGCTGGGTGGGCGGCGGTCAGCAGGTGCTGGCTGCAAGTGCCTCCCTTGTGTCCACAGATGTCAGGTCTTCCAACCAGTGGCTGCTGTTCCTGCCCCTGTGCCCCGTGCAGGTGAAGACCCCCGTGGTCTTCTTCGTCCTCACAGTGGTGCTGCTGCTGGGCTCCACCAGCTTCGTGCTGCTGGGCCACCTGCTCGTCTTCCACCTGTACCTGAGTACGTACCTGACAGGGTCCTGGCGCTCGCCTTCCCTGACCCGGGGCAGGTGGTGCGTTGGGCAGCCAGGGCACAGGGTGGGTCACAGGAAGGAAGGAGGCCAGGGAGGCTCAGCAGGCCTGTGAAGGGCTGGACTGTGCCGAGGCGTCAAGACAAGTCAGAAATGTGCAGAGACGGGGAGCAGCACCTTCGCCAGGGCAGGACGGGAAAAGAGCAGTGGACTGCAAAAGCCCCAGGCAGACACCCCACCAAGGAGAGGCCGAGCCGGCCGCACAGCCCCCTCCCCGACACAGCCGGAGGGCCCTGGGCGTGCAGAGCCAGGCCGCCGTGCACCGCCTGCACTCTGCCATGCTGCCACCAGGAGCCTCCTGTTCTCTGGGCAGTGAGAGACGGGGCAGTGGGCTTGGTGGGTGTCATTCCGACAGATGCCTGCTCTGAGGAGGAGCCAGGCCAGGCTCTGGGCCTCACCTTGACCATGTTGTGTCTGCCACCCTTCCTGTGCCTGGCAGAGGGGAGGCCCCACAGGTGGCCCCATAGTGTCCCGACCCAGGAGAATGCACGTAACACATCTCGCCCCAAGCCTGGAGCACTGTTGTCCTGCCCTCGACGTCACCCTCTGACTGCGTCTTGTGGGGGCCAGAATGTGTTGTTTTCAGAGCTTTGACTGGGAATGGCCAGGTCAGTGGGGTACACAGAAGGTATGTGTTGCCGGAGGAGAGTGACCCTTGACCCCTCTGGACTGGGCAGGTCCGCCAGGGACATGTGCTGTCTTATCAACATGGAGCCCTCCAGAGGACCTCATGTTCTCTGCAACTAGATCTCTGGAGGAAGGGCAGTCCCTCGGGCCACCTTAGGAATGTTTTTTAAGACACACCCCTTTCTAGACCATCTAGAAACCTCTTTTGTGTAAGTGCTTTCAGATTCGTTGACTGCAGTCTTTCCTGGAGTCTGCTCACCCAGGATTTATTCCCCTCTTGACCAACACCGCTCACTCCTGACCCCCAGGTAGGGCCAGAAGCTGGGGCTGCATGCCGAGGTCCTCTCAGGCCTGGAGTCCTTTCTACACCTGCAGGATAACAGCCCCAAGTGCCCAGTGGCTTTGTGATGGTGAGCACGAGTCAGGCCACTGTGTGCTAGCACAGTGGGCACTGCTGTGGAGCAAGTGTGGGGTCACCTGTGCCATGGTGAGAGGATGAAGACCAGGAGATGCAGACAGTGTGTGGATGGTGCCAGCCAAGGTGGGAGGAGGTGGCTGGGCACGTCCAGTAGGCATCAGGCCGCCTGTGGCAGGCAGTGAGAGCCGGGGGTGCCTCTGGAGTGGTGGGCCCAGCCTGATGGGCACTGCGGGACACTAGATTCCGCTTGTTGCAGGATACGAGGTCTCTGTAGGGGAGCAGGACCCCGGGAACATGGTGGACTTCTGTGGCCCACTGAAAGCCAGTGGTGCTGTGTATGGACACAGCCAGGGGCCCAAAGGGACCTGCAGAGCAGTGTGCCCCCTTCCCATGGGAATGCCGAGATTAGACACCCCGGCCCAGAGCACCGGCCCACAGCAAGGGGCCTGGGCTGGAGCCTGAGAGCCTGGTACAACACCCTCTCGCTTCTGCGTCCCAGACGTCCAAGAGGCCAACCAGGCTCCTAGGCCGAGAAGTCCCCAGTCACATCGCCTGGTGTGGGTGTCAGGCTGAGGAGGAGCCCAGGGGCTCTGGCCCTGCAGCTTGAATTTCCTCCTGTACTCAAGGACCCGCCAAAGATTCTCCAGGGCCTGGATGTGGAGCCCTGGGTGCCTCCATGCCAGGGAAGCAGGTCCCGCGAATTCCTAGGATCTCCTTCCCGCCGCAGGCCGTGTGTGCCCCCGAGTATCTGCTCGCCCCAACAGACCTGACCTCTGCAGCTCGGGGCACTGGCCCTGCCCCTCCTGAATTCCGCCAGGTGCCTGCCCTCCCAGACTCAGAGGCCACAGATGTCGGCTGGACGAGGTGAGGTGGCTCCATGGGGCCGGAGTCCAGCAGAGGCCTCCGTGCTGGCTGCTTCTCTCCTCTGCCAGGCAGTGGGAGCCCTTGTCACACAGCCCCCACCAGCTACAGACACTCAAAGGCACTCCGCGCCAGCAGCTTCCACAGCAGGAGCAGTGCCTGCATAGGGCCCAGACCTGGTCCCCAAGCCTCAGGAGCATACCACATGGGCCCAGTCTGCAAGGAAGGCCCCGTGCACGGCAGCACCTGCACCTGGAGGGCTCCAGGACTCCCGCGGGAGTCGGCAGGGCCCCAGGTTCCTGTTCTGACTGCCTCGATCCTGGACCCTCCTTGACGACAGTGCTCAGGTCACCAGGCCAGGCCAGGGCTTGGGAACACCCCTGAGAGGAGTGCCCAGGGCATCCCAGCGCATGGAGGTGGGCGGAGGCAGGAAGAGCACCGAGGGCCTCTCTGCCCCTGCTGGTACGGAGGACTGTGGGCAAAGAGCAGCAAGGGGCTGTCCCCTCCTCCAGGACTGACCAGGACTTACCTTCATGCTGTCCCTCCAAGAAATCTGACCCTGGTATTCAGCTGTGCCACAGAGATATGTCTTGGCCAGGACGACCCTGCTGGTCAGCTGCTCTGGGCCCGGAGGCCTGCAGACCAGCTGGCAATGTGTGTGGATGGCCACACTCAAGCCTCCTGTTCCCGTGGCTGACAGGCTGGTTTCTCTGCGCACAATGTAGCTGCGGTGTGCCTGCACGTCACACACTGGTGTGGCTTCATCAGAGCAGGTCATCAGGAAGGCAGGAGAGAGGGCAGGTGGCCTGGCAATAGCCTCGCTGTGGCACAGGCCTCCAGGCCCAGCCCCCAATCAAGGGCCAGCGCAAGGTGGGAGCTCATGAGGCAGGGGCCCTCAGGCTCCGCCATGCAGCAGACAGGTGCAGCTCAGTGCCCAGAGTGTTTGAACACTCAAGTGCCCATGCAGAGCTCCACGGAGGCAAACCAGGGGAAGAACACCCGGAGGAGACCAAGGACAGGTCCAAGACTGCCCAAGCTGACCGCTGGCACCTGGACGTGCTGAAGGACATGCAGGATGCTCATCTGCTCTACAGGGTTCTGCCTTGGGTTCTCAGGGGGGCTTGACACACCCTGCCCACTCCAACCATCAGATGGCAATGCTCATGTGGAGCTCACCAGGCCAGGTGCGACCCAGGAGCTGCACAGGCGCTCGGTCAGTTTTGGAGGGCATCAGGGCAGCCCAGGAGGAGAAGCCAGCGAGGTTTAGATGCTCCTCCTGTGACACAGGTTCCAAGGCCAGGGAGGTGTGGAGAGCAGGCAGAGCCAGGAGGCACTTCCCCTGCAGCACAGCGTGGGCACAGGAGGCCTCCCGGAGGGCCTGTCTCCTGGGTGGCGGCAGCGCTCCGTGGGGCCTTGCCATGTCCCGGGGCAGCTGCAAGCCCCCTGCACTTGTGCCTGTTGAGCTTTAGGAAGGAGGAAGGGGCAGGCCCTCTCTGGAAGCGCAGGCTGAGGCGACCCAGGGTTCTGGCCCGATGGCTCCTTGACTGGTGGCACCGCCCCAGCCTTCCCTCAGCACCCAGGCACAACAGCCCAGGTCTCAGGATGAAGCGCAGGTGGGGGCCGTGTGACCGCATCTGCTGTGAGCAGTGAACCCCCCCGGGCACTCCTGCCAGGTGGGCATGCCACTGCCCTACTTGAGTTGCCCTCTGGCCTCCACCAGGCTCACAGGGGTTTCCGAAACAGCCCCTCGAGCTGCATGGAGAGGAGCACAAGAGGTCCTTGGGAGTTCCTCGCTGACATCCCACAACATGCTGGATAGGGCTGGGGCCCAGACTTGGGCAGCAGGGCCCCTGAAAGTCCAGGCCCTCCCATGAGACGTGCAAGGGCTCCCACTGCCGGCATAGCCAGCCGTACCCTGTCCTGGCCTCGTGGGCTGCTCCCTGGGCAGGGTGGGGTGTCCTCTACCCTGGAGGCCACTGTAGGTGCAGATGGGTGCCGGGCACTGCTGCAGGTGACTCTGCCCTCCCCTTGCAGTGGCCAAGCACTTGAGCACCTTCGAGTACATGATGCAGACCCGCTTCCAGCAGAACCAAGTGCCCACGAGGCGCGAAGGGCTGATTCTGCTCAAAGAGAAGGGGCGTCCAAAGGTAGGCCTGCCCGGCGGCACCCCACCCAGGGCTGAGCAAACTCAGGTGTGCTGTGTGGCAGGACCTGGTGGCCGTGCCCCGCTGCCCCCCTCTAGGTTGGTGAGTGTATAGTAATGGTGTGGCAGGGCATGTGCTCTGTGGTGTGTTACTATGGAGTGGCATGTGTGTAACGTGTTCTGTGTAACATGGCTATGGTGTACATGGCATGGGTATATACATATTATGGTGTATGGTGTGCAGCGTGTGTGTGGAGTGCAGTGTGGTGTGCATCATGGCGTGTGGTGTGCAGAATGCGTGTGGTGTGTAATATGACATGTGATGCACAGGTATCATGGCCTGTGGGGTGTAACATAGCATGTGGTGTGCAGCGTGGTGTGTGGGGTGCAGTGTGACTTGTAGGGTGCAGTATGGCCTGTGGGGTGCAGCAGGTGGCCTGTGATGTGCAGCGTGGCCTGTGGGGTACAGTAGGTGGCCTGTGGGGTACAGCATGGCCTGTGGACTGCAGCAGGTAGCCTGTGGGGTAAGCATGGCCTATGGGGTGCAGAAGGTGGCCTATGGGGTGCAGTGTGGCCTGTGGGGTAGGTAGAGTGTGGCCTGTGGGGTGCAGCAGGTGGCCTGTGGGGTGCAGCGTGTGGCTTCTGGTCTGCAGCACACGTGTGGGGCCTCCCTGTGGAGTTGCGCCTCTGTGTCTCTGCTTCGCGTGACAAGCCAGCAGGCCGACTGCTTTCCATGTGTCCTGGCTCTTCACGGAGCTCAACTGCCAGGGGTCCCTGGTGGTGGCTGAGCAGGTGGAGCCGGGATTTCTGAAGGGTCCAGTGGCTTCGCTGACTCTTTGGAAGGGACCTCAGCACAGTGTCTGTGGGCTTGAGAAGTGTCCTCTGGTTGCCCTAACATTTCCTGACACAGATAGTGGGAGCTCCATCACGTCCTGCTGCTCCATGCTGGACTTGGCCATCAAAAGTGACCCTGGGCCACCCTGCATGGCAGCAAGGGCCCGGGGTCTACCTTTCTGCCTGCGCATCCGGGGCCCAGGTTCCCAGGTG